CTCTCTCTCTCTCTCTCTCTCTCTCTCTCCCTCTCTCCCTCTCTCTCTCTTCTTCCTGTCAGGGTGTCAGTCCATCACAGGGCCACACACAGAGACTAACAACCATTCACCCTCTCACTCACACCTAGGGACAATGAAGAATTACCAGTTAGTCTTACATTCATGTTTTTGGTCTGTGGGGAAAAAAACGGAGTGCCCAGAGAAAACCCAGAAAGGAACCCGGCCTGGATTCGATCCGACAACCTTCTGGCTGAGAAGTAACAGCTCTACCAATTGAGCCACAATGCCACCACCTCAGCTGAAACAAATTATTAATCCATAACTTATACACATGATTCTCAGTTTATGCAGCTAGATTCATATTCAGATTAATTTCACTGCATTAGAGTCATTATAGGGTTTTTACTTCCCTGTCTCACAAGAGAGATGCTTTGATCATGTGCATAAAGGTGTGAGTTAGAGATAAARAGGACTGGATATCAAGCCTGAAGTTTTAGATCAGCAGATTCTGAAATACTCAGAGCTTCTGGCACCACCAACCATGGCACATTAAATCCTCCATCCCTGTTCTGAGGACTGGTTTGAACCTCAGCAAGTCCATTTCACCACATCTAGATGCCTAAATGCATTCAGTTTCTGACAGGTGATTGGCTGTTTGTATTAACAAGTAACTGAACAGGTGTACCTAACAAAGGTGGTCAGTGAATGAACAGTACACACTGTGTAGTGAGTATATTATACATTACATGAACTGGAAAAGATCTTAAGGTTATTTTTACAGACAAAGCAGAGTGTGCCTTATTAGCTCTCAAACATTGTTATCAATATGACAGGTGAACCTAATTAGAAGAGCTGCAAAGTGAAAGACACATTTTTCACATGATTGGTGGTTAAACTGTCTGATACACAATGTGGATCTGTTTACAGCCTGCTCCTGCTTGGACCACCTTTAGAGTTGGACTTTACTGTGGAGTTTTTCTTGTCTTAGTTGTCACTGTGGTCATTGCAGGTAACACACACACACATTTCTACACATTCATATATTTAGAGTCAAGTGACTCAGTTTTCGTTTCCTGGARTTTGAACATTGTCTGTGGGAAAGAAATGGTTGAATTTTATTTAACTTTTGGAAAAAAATTGTTTTTCGGGGGTTGGGATTGAGTCACTCTACTGAGGAAGTACTTTTGTATATAAATAAAATACAACACTTCTTTGTAGGAAATTTGTGACCCATCACATCGAAATGAGGATTCAGTCCAAAAGTAGAATGTGGAGAAGATATAGATAAAGGGTTTTGATTTAAACGTGTGCAAAAATTGCACTTTGTCAAAATATAATGAATAAATGCCATATAAACGTATCATTTGAATGAGCTGTCTGAAATATAATTCTAAAAAAAAAATTGAAGCTTTTTTTTTGAGCAGTAGCAACAAAAAAATGTGATTTTGGGGAAAAATGTCTTAAAATTTTGAATTTTTCCCCATGAGCTAGCAATGTTTTTGTTTCTTTCCAACTGTGAAATCTTAATATTCAAATACTATTTGAGGTTTCCTCTTTATATTGACAAAAATTAGTCAATAAATTTGCTTAAAATTAGGATTCAGACCAAACAGTAATGTATTATCATAACCAACAAGACAAATTAGGTCAAATCTCTGAAAAAGCTTATGATATCAGGATGTTACAGGTATCAAAATGTAGCTTTTAAASCAGGAATCTGAAAATGTAGTTAGGCCATTTTGAACAAATTTGACTTGATCCTAATTTTGATATGATGGGTCACATATTTTTTGATAATAGAGATACACCAATACCAGTTTTTTTTTTTTTTTTTCAAATTGAGTAAAACTTCTTTTTGGGTGCTCGTCGAGCATGTGTCGAGTACTTACTGAGTACTTACTGAGTACTTACTGAGTACTTACTGAGTTAAAACAACAACTTTGGATTTGACACGTTAACACGCAGATCCACTGGGAGTGAATCCGTAGCTGAATGTAAAGTCATGTCATCTTCTGCACATACTGTACTTGTCTCATTGACGGCATAAAGCTTTTGCACTGGAGTCTATTGGAGGTTGCATTTAAAATATGAACATCCACGCAAAAAATGGTGTCCATTCTGGGTATCGGGACATTTTGAATGAGTACAATTTCTTGTAAAAAAGCTGGTATTGTGCCCGATACCCAATACCAATAACTGTATTGTGCATCCCTATTTGATAATAATACATTTTTATAGTATATGCATATAGTATAAATGCCTTAGTTTCAGTGAGTCAACAAATTTAAGGAAGCACCAACTTGTATTTACTTTTTTTCATCCGATCATTCTGTAATGATGATTAAATATTTTCACTTCACTATTTTCTTCTTTTCTTGTTTTATCACCTGCTCTATTGTGGTGGCAACAGGAGCTGTGACAACTCGTAGTTCTGAAGTTTGGCCAATGGTTCGAATCTACAGAGGAGGCTTCCTGATTATAGAGTTCCTCTTCCTTTTAGGTATCTGCACACAAACACACAATTATTTCATGGCTAAACGCCTGTTCAAACTTATTTATCACTAGGAGTTAGAATGTTTAGGCACCTCATGAATTGATTTGATTACAATTTTGATAGCTGGGATATGTTTAAAAAAGATTATTGATGTGTTAATTAAAATAAATGTTGGCTTTTTTACATATGTCAACACTGATTTATATATTCTCATGTCCAATAAAGACYAGATAACATACACACGTGGACAAAATTGTTGGCACCCTTAATTTAAAGAAAGAAAAACCCTCAGTGGTCACAGAAATAACTTGAATCTGACAAAAGTAACAATAGATAAAAATTCTATGAAAATGAACAWATCTTTTCAACCAGGCTTCAACAGAATTAAAAAAATAAAACTCATGAAACAGGCCTGGACAAAAATGATGGTACCCCTGAAAATAATGTGACCAAAGGGACATATTAAATCTTTTGTGTCCACTAATTATCATCACAGATATATAAAATCTTGTAATCAGTCATTGGGCCTGTATATAGGGCTCCAGATACTCACTGTGCTACTAATTTTCTTGTTTGTCCTTTTGTGCTTATTTTTCATCTATTTGTGGATTTGTGCTTTCTAAATTCATGAACATAATATCGCTAATTAAACTATTTAATCATATATTGATCATTATCTTTAACAGCAAAGTATCCCTCTAATAATTTAATTTAAGGCTGTCTTAAGTCAGTGCAAAATTATTGTATCAAAACAACAGTCCCTCAGGTGTCTGTCTGTTCACAGAAACTACATCCTCAAACTAACTCTCTTTCTGACTCACAGTTTTCATTTGAGAGACAATTCCCACAATTCTTTGTTTTAATGTGGCAGGAATGCATTGGAGCAATGTCACTGGGTGACACCTCCAGTCCCATCAAAATAATTAGCATTTCTAATACATACTAAAATTTTGTAAGTATGGATTATTTTACTTTACAATCGAAGCTCCTGAAGCAATTTTGTTGAATAAACCTTACCCCAACGCCAAGATGAAGACTAGAAAAACAGAAACTGATTCAAACTGATGAAGACATCTAGTGAACAACTGGAGCCATAACATAAGTAGGGAAAATTTTAAATTCATGCTCTTATTTTGAAGTGAAGACTGTTTCCTGTTCTCCGTGTTTTTGCTTACCGTCACCAATCCGTCCTGTACCCAGAATGCTTTGCTTCAGCTCTCCAATAAACAATTTAAAATTAATAATATATCCTGGAAAATGACCAAGAAGCAGCATAACTAGCAATCCACAACAACTGTTTATTTATCACCATGAGCCAAACGTCTGTTTGAACAAATCACCTCCCCATACAGCGGTGATATGTGCAACAGTGCCGCAGTTTTTAAATGATGTGCCTCTAGGCAGATATGTGCTTTAGAATTAGCTTCCACTTAGTTCTTTTGTGCGCAAGCGCTTTAGAACTTGAGCACCTAAATCATTTTGCATGTGCTTTAGGACTTGCACAACTAACTTTTGTATAAGCGCTTCCCACTAGAGCTAGGGTAAATGGCTCTTTGAAGGGATCCAGATCTTGGGGAGCCGTTTGTTTCATAGAGCCGTTCAAAAGAGCCGTTCAATTTTGAACGTATGACGTCATCACATAGGGAAATACGTCATCACGAAGGGAAATACGTCATCACGTAGCCGTACGTAATGACGTAATCCCGTCACGTGGGTGGAAACATTTGTTTGTCAAGTGGAAACCCCCCCTCCCCCTTTCACCGTGAGCTTCTGTACTCCACAACTCCGTCTGTTTTCCATGAAAAAGCAAAGTGGGAGTGATTAAAGTATGAAAAAAATAAAGATTATATGAGGAATAAATGAAATAAAACTACAAATGACTCGTTACTGCCCGCGATTCGACTGCTATCGTTCGTTGCAAAGAGCCGTTCAAAAGATTCGGATCGTTTGCGAACGTCACAGCTCTACTGCCCACCACTGCAAACAAATTATATAGTGCTTTTTATACACTTGAAAGTATACCTGAAATTCTCGTCACGCTTGCATTCAATCCTTCAGAGGATCGGTGTCACTCCTCCAGTGGTTTAATGTGACACAGCCACAAAGCTGGATGTGGGTTTTCCTCCATCTGCTGTTTGTAAATGAAGGGAAATGAGCAAACGTTCAGCTTTTTAGTGGTTACTTCAGGTGTACAATTTTCACATTCTTCTTGATTCCTTATCTGTAGGTATGCGATGGAAACAGTACTGCTTTTCACAGGATCCCTTTTTGGGGTGGGGAGTGGGGGACTTTGTCGATATTCTGTTAATGTTGAAAAACACAGTTTCGCAACTGCAGTTAGTAAGTAAGAAATGTTATTAAAGTCACGTGAATACGTTTGTTCTCGTGATAAGTCATTACAAACATGGCAGCGATGGATGTAAACACATAGCATGTTGCTACCACGACACTAGCGCTCATCATCAGAGGAGACGTCGGCGTCTTTTATCGAGGCTTTCCAGAGACAAGTCCCTACTTGGGAGCGGCTACGTATGCTGTGTTTTTGGGAAATTGTAGTCGGTGAGTTTACTACCTTATTTTACTACTTCGGTGATTTCACTACTACTTCTACTTCCTGTTGTCTTCTTCTTCTTTGTCTTTTCACCAGTAGAAACAGCTGGTTCTTGATCACATGACTCCTGTGATGCGCAAAAAGTGTTTCCATTGCCGTTTTGTGAAATACATAAGAGATGGGATAAATGGCTGTTTGAGGGGATCTGGATCTTGGGAAGCCGTTTGTTTCATAGAGCCGTTTGATTTTTAACGTATTACATCATCACATAGGAAAATACATCATCACGTAGCCGTACGTAATGACGTCATCCCGTCACGTGGGTGGAACCATGTGTTTATCAAGCGGAAACTCCCCTTCCCCTTTCACCATGAGTTTTTGTACTCCACAACTCCACCTGTTTTCCGTGAAAAAGCAAAGTGGGAGTGATTAAAGTATGAAAAAAATAAAGATTATATGAGGACTAAAAGAAATAAAACTACAAATGGCTCGTTACTGCCCGCRATCCAGCTCCTATCGTTCGTTGTAAAGAGACCTTCAAAAGATTCGAATCGGTCGCGAACGTCACATCTCTAAAATACACCAATTTCGATACGGCCGAAAAACCACCTCATCCTAACGCAAAAACATTTTGTCGAAAAGCAATTTTTTTCAATATTGATGTGTTTCCATTGAGCAAATTTATTTTCGAAATTCTAATTTGCGCATTTTCATGGTCAATGGAAACGCAGCTAGTGACGGATTCAGTTTAGTCTGGTTGTTTGTGCAGCTGCAAATAGCACAACAGGTACCTGAACAGGATGAATTGTAAACTCCACCTCGGTTATAAGCAATGCAAAACCAGAGGTTGTTCTGGTAATCCAAACACAAACTACTTTCAAATAGACAGCAGTTCGTGCTACCTTAGTTAGCCAAAGCTTACTTCTGTTTCTATTGTTTCTGACAGGAAGTCATACCCATATTCATTTCTACAGTAGCACCATGAGGTGGATAGGAAAACAGATGAAGTCARCTGTAATAAGAAGGAAACTGGTTCAGTGTGTAGTCAGCAGTGCTGGCTCTAGCCATTTTGGTGCCCTAGGTGAGTTGAAGCGCAACACCCCCCACCCCCCCACCACCCCGAAC